TTCCTACCAGAATTAATAATAATAATAATAGCAATGACAGTTTATAATAACATTAGTGATGATAATAATAATAATAATAATAATAATAATAATGAAATAATAGTGATAAGAAGAATGGGAATACTGTATTACTAACAATAATTGTGGTTGTGGGAATGAATTCATTGAGATTCTATAAGTGGGATGGCAAAATCGGCATTCGTCTAACTGGGATTCGATTTGTTAGGATGACACCAAGGCGATTATCGAAGGAGATCTTTGGAAGAAATGTCAAGTGAACAGTTAGTAGCTGCTACACAGGACTGTTATGCTGGTTGTTTACATGACAAGGCCTTCAGTTTATAATATAAACCTAAATGCAGATGACAGCAGTGGTTTATAAAGGTATTGGTACCTAATGAAAAAAATTTATAGGTAATATCACCAACACTAGTGTTTTTGAGTCCTGGGAAGTAGGAACTATGTCTAAGGTAAGGTAATGTTTAGAGGTCGACGATTTATACTTCGCGTATAAGTCGACCCCCAATTTTCGGACAAAATTTCAGCAGTGGATTATATTGAGGATAGAAAAAAATGTAAGTAAAAATAGTACTGTATTGCATATTGCCAATTCATGCCCACAGAAACACTACAGGTACTTCATATTTATATAATATATATACTGGACAATACTGTAGTTATGGTATTTTATGGCATATAAGATGCACTTTTTTGTTTGAAAAACGGCTAAACAAAAAATCTGCCTGCATTCTATATGTGAAGTTGCGGTCTCCTGCAAGCTAATGAATTTCCCTGTTATATCTCAGTAGGCTAAATTCTACCTAACCCAACTCCAGATTTAAAAATGTTATTGCTTACATAAACATTATTATTATTTGTAATTAAATGAAAATAATTATTGATATTGATATTGAAACAATTTATTTAGCCAGAACACCACAGATAAAGAGTCAATTAAGAATCATAATATTAACATTGCTGGGCCAGTTGAGAGCGTGAACTCTCTTGTAGGTCGATGTATAACTACTCTGCTGTACTAATGACGATAACCTGAAACGATTAACCTCTGTACGGCAAACGCCCAACTCTTCAGAGGTAGCTAAGCAGTAACCATTTCTGAACTCTTACAAGCATTACAGCCGATTAATGCCATACCGGCAACATTTATTTTTCATTCTACAAATACAGCTGCTCCTCGACTTACGGCGGGGTTAGGGACCCAAATCCAGGTCGTAAATCGAAAATACTTAAATAATACAGAAAATCTAAAATGGGTGTCTCTTTTTCTTCTCGGCACCACAAAACTCTCACTTTTAAGCTTGCCAGCCATTTTAAAGTTAATTACAAATGAAAATATTGTCAGTACACAGCACAATCACTGATGTTGGGACTCGAAAATACGTAATTTGAAAAAATTTTGGTACGACTGAAGCAGTCGTATGTCCGGGTGGTCGCAGGTCGAGTATGTCGTAAGTCGAGGAGTAGCTGTACCTGATACAAATGAAGATTTACAGATAACTTTCTTTTCGCATTTACATCGGTTAACATCGCTGGTGGCATTGTAACCACCAGGCTACTGGACCAAGCTCTTATTTTACAACTTTAATTTTCTGGTAGATATATGTAACTTTCTTCATTTATTTTTACTGATGTGCATGCACATGCCATCCTACATATATATTGTGAACAAGTAGAAGAAATAATTGTCCTAAGGGCAAACACATAAAAGGAATATATATTTCTTTGTACAAGAGTTAGCTGGCTCAGCAGGGGAGTGGGAGGATGGCTGGGCAGTTGGTGGTGGGGGGAGCGTTGCTAGGGAATCGGCGGAGGTTGTGTTGCTGTTACTATGGTGAACAGGGAGTACCGATGTACAGTAAAGGTAGTCCCCGACTTACGACGGGGTTAGGGACCCAAATCCAGGTCGTAAGTCGGATTGGTCGTAAGTCCAACATAGATTAAAAAAAAAATCTACAATGAAATACAGTACAGTAAAAGTAATAAATAATGAGGAATGAATACACTGAGATTGAGCACTTAACTTTAATGTAGTCAGCTGAATGCACACGGGGCCCCCATAATTTTCTATTTACGGGTATACATGGAGACTAATATTAATTGGATGAAGCAGAGGAGGAGACAGGGAATCTGTGGGTCATCAATGTCGCTTTCTTCAGACAGGTTTATGTACTGTGGAAACTTGCTGGTTGAAGGTATTGGATCATCTTGAGGGAGTGAAGAGGCAGCACTGGTGGGGCATGAGGAGACAGCACTGGGGGACTTTTTAAAATAGATGTCCAATTTAGACTGCACAGTTTGCTTTTTCTTTTCTTTATAAATTTCTCTGTAGCAAGCAAGTGCATCTTGGATCATTCCGTCAACTTGGCATAACGCTCATAATTTTGATCCTTGCCATCAAACATTTGCATTCCTTTATTAATTGTAGCAAATGCCTCTGCCATTTGCTTCACTGAAAACTTTTTGGGGGGGTGCAGGTCCTTCTTCTACATTTAGACTGGCTTCTTTCTCTGCATCTTTGTGTGCTTCCAGTTCGATGAGATCTTCGTTACTGAGCTCTTCTGCTACACTTTCAACCAACTGTTCAACATCTTCATTATCAATTTCTAACTGAAGCTGTTTACCTAACTCCACTATCTTGTTACTAATATCCGAAATAACTTCATTTTCATTAAATCCTTTGAAACTGTTCACATATCTTTTCAGGATTTTCTTCCATATTCCATTCATGCAATGTTTTGTAACCTGATCCCATGCTGCACTAATGTTATTTATACATGACAAAACGTTGTGCTCCTTCCAAAACTCTCTGAGTGTTTTCTCACCTTCAGTAGCAGCAACAGCCTGAGCGAAGGTCGTATGTAAATAATACGCTTTAAAGGCAGCAATAGCACCTTGATCCATGGATTGGATGACAGAGGTAGTGTTAGGTGGAATGTACACTACCTTAACATCAGGGTGCATGTCGTCCAGGTGTGGTGGGTGTCCCGGAGCATTATCCAAAATCAGCAAAATCTTGAATGGAATCCGTTGTTGCAGACAATACTCCTTGGCTTGAGGAATGAAACAATTCATGAACCAATCCTCAAACAGTACAATGGTCATCCAGGCTTTCTTGTTACTGCTATAAAACACTGGCAGTGTGTGCTTGCTGACATGTTTAAAAGCCCTGGGGTTCTCTGAATGATAGATCATGAAGGGCTTTAGCTTGAAACCAGCAACATTCCCCCCCAACAGAAGTGTAATTCTGTCCTTGAATGCCTTGAATCCGGGCATTTTTTTTGCCTCTTTGTGGATGTATGTCCGCTCAGGCATGCGTTTCCACAATAATCCAGTCTCATCCACATTGAATATTTGCTCAGGCAAATAATTCCCTTCCACAATCACATCATCTAACTCCTCCTTAAAAGCTTCGGCAGCACCAACATCAGCACTAGCTGCCTCTCCACTCACCTTAACATTGTGTAGACTGTAGCATTTTTTAAATCTATCAAACCACCCATGACTTGCTGTAAAGGTTTGCTCACATTCATCTCCTGCCTGCTCCTTCAGGCTTTGGAACAGGCTTCTTGCTTTAGCCTGTAAGGTTAGAAGGCTTAAGGGTACACGCTTCTGTATCTGGTCTTCCCTCCATATCACCAATAATTTTTCCATATAGTGAATAGGACCTTGTCTTTTCTTCGAAATTATAGTTCCCTTTATAGGTGTTGTTCCTTTCACTACATCACGAATACGTTCCTTGTCCTTCAGAATAGTGGATATGGTCGAGTGCGAGAAACCTAGGTCACATGAGATTGTTGCTACAGTTTTTCCATTCTCATACTGCATTATCTTCATTTTCATCTCAAAAGTAAATGCCTGTCTCCTTTTCTTTGGAGCACCACCAGCACTCTCACTTGTACGCTTTCCAGTCATTATAAAGTCAATTAAATACCATAATAACGTAAGTACACAGCGCGATCAGTATAGGATACGATAGCCAAACACCAACTAGGCGCTGTACTGAGTGAGTGTAACCACGCGGTGACCCAAGCCCAGCCACGCTCTCGCTCTGGACGGAAACGTTTCGGAATAGAAAATGCGCGCATCATTTGAACAAATTTTGGTCACGACTGCGGCGGTCGTATGTGCGGACGGTCGTAAGGTCAGAGCAGGTTGTAAGTGCGGATTGACGTAAGTTGAGTCAGTTGTAAGTCGGGGACTACTGTATCTGTATGTGCAAATGGTGACTGGTAAACTTTCATGTGGCTTTTATTTACTGGTTTGGTAACAGTATTTTTGTTGTAATTTATTGGTATTTTTATTTATTCCTCACATTTACTAGTACAGTGCTGTATACAGTACAGTCTCCCCGACTTACGACAACCCTGACATACAACGGCCATGGTCGTATAAAATATTTTTCACATTACTGTACGTATTTCCGAGTCCTGACGTTAATGATAGCGCTGTGTACTGACAAAATTTTCTTTTGTAATTCCCTTTAAAATGGCTGGCAAGCGTAAAAGTAAGAGTTCTCGTGGTGCTGAGAAGAAAAAGAGACCCATTTTAGAATTTTTATGTATTATTTTCGCCGTTTCGACTTCGGACCAATTTGACTTACAACCTGGTCGTCGGGACGGAACCCCGTCGTAAGTCAAGGAGAGACTGTATATTGTTTTAAGAAAATATGGCTACAGGAGGAAAATACACACTAAAGGTTTTTCCTAAATACTCCTTGCTTAAAGGGTCAGGTGTGTCTTATATGCCATAAAATACGGTAGTTGATGCCCAGAGGAAAAAAGTTATATACTGTAGCTATTGATACTAAATTTTTATTGAGAAGTCAACCAAGTCATTTCAAAACTTGAAGACATAAAAACACTTTGTAAATTATTATTTCTTGTTGAAACTTAATGAGTTGACTTGGTTGTGTATTGTTCGAAATTTCAATCATTGAAATTAAATGTCACTCCTGCTGAATCGATGTTTTTATTCTTTAGGTTACCTACTGCCGCCACCATGCAGAACGACGCTGGAGAATACGTGGACCTGTATGTGCCGCGGAAGTGTTCGGCATCGAACCGTATTATCTATGCCAAGGATCATGCCTCTATCCAGATAAACTTGGCTGAGGTATGATATGTTTCTTTTGTTTTGAGCATTGTTAGTGCTTGGGTGACTTGTTTTAATGTTTTGAGAGATAAGTACTGTACTGTACAGTGCAGTACTCTGCTTGAGTTCCCCAAGTGTAATAGTTTATAATGATTAAGGAGAGTGGAGATACCTAACAGGTTTACATATTGTAGTTTTACATTATTCTGCAGTAAACCCTCACACTTTCGGACAATTGGGGGGGGTGTCCGGTTGAACTGGAGGACGAATGCGCGTTACTTAATCTTATGGGGAAGATTAGGATATGTTCCACAACTACTAAAATTCAATAATAATGCTCTAAAAATAAGAAAAAATAAATTGTGTGTGAGTGGGTGTAAAGTGAGCCGCCTGATAATTGAGGAGCCCGTAATACAATAAAACCAAAAATACAGTACCGTATTTTACGGCAACGAGTATTTTCCTCCTGTAGCCATCGTTTTCTTAATACAGTCGGCCCTTCACATACACGGGTTTAGCTTTCACGGATTCGCAAATACGCGGATTGCCCCGCTGGAGGAATATTCTGTACATTGAAGTAATTGAAGTACAGTCGACCCTCGTTAATTCGGACTAATAGGGGGGAGGGTGTCTGTTTTAGCCGAGTGTCCGAATTAACCGATTTAGGGGTTAACATTGCATTATATTTCAAAGTCATTGTTTTCGTCACGCTTTTATCCCACTTTCCACTGTAATACGTACGTAATTTCAGCAAAAATATTACATTTCCGTGAATGTATTATATCAAGCACAGTATGAATAGAATATCATTGTAATATAACAGTATTTTAACCGAAAACTAGTAAAAAAACGAATAACATCTCAAGAACATCGCAAGCTTAGGTAAAGTCTTTTGTTTTCGTCATGTATTTTATCCTATTTTACATTGAAATACATCACGTTTCAGCAAAACTACTATTTATTTCCGAGAATATATTCATTCAGGCGCAGTTTAGGTAAAATATACGTGTGATGTAACAGTTTTTAACTGAAAACGATTCGAAAAACATGTACCCTCTAGCCCTGTTCAAGGAGAGGACTGGGAGAAGCTGTTTGGTGCTGCAGACGATGACAAGGAAAATGATTTGGATGGATTTTAATGAATATTCAGAAATATGGTATCGTAGCATTTATTCAAGTGAATTAGGATAGAATATTATTGTAATACAACAGTTTTTTAGCTGAAAACCATTCGAAAAGCGATTATGGTAACATCTTTTGAACAACGAAAGAAAGCGAAAGTCATTGTTTTCGTCATGATTTTATGCCACTTTCCACTGTAATACGTACGTCATTTCAGCAAAAATATTACATTTCCATATTTATTTCTAAGAATATACTCATTCAGTCACAGTTAAGGTAAAATATACTTGTGATGTAATATTTTAATGAAAATACCCGGTATATATATATATATATATATATATATATATATATATATATATATATATATATATATATATATATATATATATATATATATATATATATATATATATATATATATATATATATATATATATATATATATATATATATATATATATATATATATATATATATATATATATATATATATATATATATATATATATATATATATATATATATATATATATATATATATATATATATATATATATATATATACTTTTTTTTTCTTTTTCTGTACTTACATGTTGTTAGTTGTTGGAGCACTTGGTATGTTCCTCTCCCCTCCTGCCCTTTCCCCTCTTCCTCCGTGCTCCACAGTGTCGCCTTACTTAGCCTGAACAAGGCAATTAAATCTAGTTTTAGTGGGTGGACGGATAGTGTGTACTTGTGGGGGAGATGAGTGGTCACAAGGTAAGCCATGCTGTGATACCACATGTGCAACACATTTTTTATTTTCCCTTCTAGCCACAACAGCATGCCGGGCAGTTCCTTTCGCACTAGAACTGCTTGTTGAAGGACCAGACACACAATCACTTGAACTAGAATGGCCAGGAACAATGGGAAAGGCCTCAGGAGGCATCACATTATCACCACATGGTACAATCTCCTTGTACTTTTTATGTTTTCCCGCCCCTCCACCTTCGCCAGCAACACTAGACATGGTTCAAAACTATCACAAACCGTTATCTATAAATGAGATCACTGGTGAATGAGAAATTAGCACAAGCTACAAGAAAATAGTGGGAATTGTAGGTCAAAGTGGCATCCTGTGCCATAGAACCATAAAGGGCATCCCTGGTGTGGTCACTCACATATCCTTGGAAGCAGTCTCCATTGGTGCTAGATCACACCAACGTTGTGAAATAAGTTTCTTGTTTTTTGTTTTCTTCGGGTATTAGCCAACCCGGGCACAGGTCAATAACCCACATCGGGGCCTAGGAGGCGAAAAAATAAGAATAGAAAGAAATTAAAAATAGAAAAGGAAAAGGTTATATTAATCTACATCACGAGGATGCCGGAAAACCAGCTTTTTAAAGTGAGACAGATTGTATGAGCATGGAAGCACAGGAGAAGGCAGAGCATTCCACAGTTTGGCTGTGTGGGAAAGAAGGAAGTACTATAACGGGTTATTCTCGTGTGACCGACATCCACACGGTGGGCACCGCGGGCAAGACGTGTGTTACGAGTCCACGGCCTTGCCGGCGGTACACAGGATGCCAAATCCACCGAACATTGCCCGTTAAAGTACCTGTAAAAGAGAGAGTGTAGCAACGTTGTGGCGAAGAAAAAGGGAAGAAAGATTGTCAACTAAAGGAGGAGAGTTAATAAGACGAAATGCCTTTGATTCCACCCTATCTAACAGTTGGACAGAAGAAGAGCCACCCCAGATATGAGAGCAGTACTCCAAGTTAGGATGAATGAATCCCTTATATACTTGAAGTAACTGCTCAGGCGTGAAGTAGCTACGGCATCTGTACAGCACTCCCAACTTTCGGGAGGCAGTTTTAGCAATGTTGAGGATGTGTGGCTTCCATGACATATTAGAGGAAATGGTGAGGCCTATTTTAGAATTTGGCAGAATGATTGTGTCCTGAAATGTGATTGGTGGGAGATCATCTAATTTGGAAAGTGTAATTGGTAAATACTGAGTTTATTACTAATGAATTTAACCAAGTTTCTACCTCCCCATTCGGAGTTGCGTTCATGCACAAACAAAATTATTTTATTGTAATTTTTTAGTTCAAACGCAAATTTGCATATGAAAACTCAATGGCAATAATTTAGACCACACACAAATTTGCATATGAAAACTCCAAGAGTGTTAAGTCATAAAGCAGAAGGCTCTTTTATGGTGTTAGGGTCTCCTTTGATTTATGGTATGGTTATTTTTCCTGAAAAGCGTTCTAAATAAAAAGTATGTTTGTTGTAGCTGGTGTACCAATTTGTATTTAACATTGACTACCATTATATAATAGGAAATGTGTTCCTATGGAAAAAATTCATCCCATAGATATAATTAAACACTTTTAAGTTTAATGAAAAAATATTTTATATGAAACAGTACTGTTAATTGTTTTATGTAGCTACTGAAAGTAGTTCTTGATATGAAAATACCTCTACTGTATAGTACTTATGAGAAACTGTGGTGATTCTTGAGTGAGGTGGTGCTAAAAAAAAAAAGTGTGTCGACAAAGCACTCGCACCAAAGTTTCTGCAGTGTACAGGTTACAATACTTAATTATTGGAAGTTTTTACCCATACAGTAGGTCCTCGATATATGCGAGGGATGTGACATTAAGAGGGCTGTCCTCAGCAGGCTCCTCACACAACACCAGTGGTGAGGGTGTGTGTTAGAAGTTGAGGATCCTGGATAGGCAGCATGGTCATGGTTGGAGGTGGAAGGTTTAGGAGAGGCAGGTGGAATGGGAATGGAGGTGGAAGGCCTTAGGAATTGCAGCAGTGTGGTCTGTTTTGCTTTTTGTTGCTTTTCTGCATAAACCTCCTTGTAGGCTGTAAGAATATTTTTTAATACACGATTAAATGGCAGGCTTTTCTCCAAATTGATGTCTATGTCCATTGCTTCCTGTGCAGGTTTTTCATCATTTGATAAAAAGGTTGCTATCCTCTTCATTGACATGTCTTTGATTCTAGGGCAACCTCCTCCACCTCCTCCTCTTCCATTTCTTGATCAGCCTTGTCTAAGAGGTCATCCACACTCGGTTCTTCATCATGAGAATCAATCAATTCCATAACATCTGCATTATCAAGGTCAACAAAGCCATCTCCACCCACCTTTCATCCTATTTTAACCCTTACGCCCCGGGCTAGGGTGCCGCCGGCCTTAACCCCAATGCGGGGTAAAACAAGAAAAATCAACTATTCAAAAAATAATCTTTAGACTTTATAAATGATAAAACAATAAAAAAGACATAAGACATACTTTTCATTGTCCCTCTGTATTCTTCTGTGGCTCCTTAGTGATGAGACTACGGACTTAGGGGTCATTTTCTCGCTTGCCTTTGTGTCCGCGTTGGCCAATAATGCATTTAATTACTGATCATAATGCTTATTTCCTATAAATAATTCATTTAAACTTTATTTTATTTGCATTACTCTTCATAAGAAATTCTCAGCGACACACACACACACAGTGTGACGTCAGGCTTTATGTTTGGGAGAGCACGTAGGTCATACAAATAATTATCGGAATAATAATTCTACAAATAAATACATTTATAACATAGTCATAGCATTATCATCTAGTAATACTAAACTAAAATAAAACTACACAACTTTTAGTAATATTACTTTGATACAACATAATAAAATGTACAAACAATGAAAACAAACAAACAAGTTGTTTACCAAGAAGCTTCCCTCTGACCACAGTAAGAGGGGGGAGATAAGAGGGCTATTGTTAGCTTGTCTTTGTGTCCAAAGTGGCCAATAATGCATATATTTACTGATCATTTTACTTATCTCCAATAAATAATTCATTATTTTTTCATAAAAAGTGGTTGGCGACACACAGCAGTCTGTCGCCAGCTCTCTGGCTGTCTTTGTGTCTGGTATAGCAAGTAATACATAAAATACAGTAATAATAATTTCACAATTAAAAACATTTATAACATAATCAAAGCATTATTTTTTCGGTAATACTACACTACAATACAACTACAGTGGTCCCTCGATTAACGAACGGTCCAATTAACGAATTAGCTCCCATAAGGATCTTCAATTCCATTAACGAACAAAACTTCGATTAACGAAAGCCTTACGAGAAACGCGCTTTGTTGTGCGCATCAGCTGATCGGCTAGTCCGCCAATACAGTACGGTAATTGGTTCTATGCTTACATTCGTTTCCAGTGGAGTAAATATCAAGAAAGTTGTGCTCTTGAATATTTTTGCATTTTTTATATTAAAATTATTGGTCTTTCTAATTTAGTTAACATATTCATAATATATACAGTACAGGGAACAGTTTTTGTGTGCCAATCAGCTGATTGACTCACCCGCTAACGCTTCTCAGTTTAACTTTGTTTACAGTGGAGTGAACATCCAGTTTGTTGGTCTCGTGAATATTTTTGTATTTTTATATTAAAATTATTGGTCATTCTGAGATTTAGTTCACATATTGATAATATACAGTGCAGAAATTATTATGAAACACGAAGAAGGCATTAGAACCAATGCACTCTGTAAAGAATATGGCATGTCATAACCGACAGCCTCTACAATCAGCTGTTTGAAATGTAAACAAAGCTGCCGAGAATACGACATACACACCTCAAAGTAAGTTAAAATATAGTACTATTTCTGGTATGCAGTACTTTGTATGTACTGTTTTTGTGAGTTGGAACCAATTACCCAATATCCCATTGAAATAATTTCTGTTAACAAAATTTTCGGTTAACGAATGACTCTGTGGAACAAATTGTGTTCATTAATCGAGGGACCACTGTACACTAGTTTTAGCAATAATACTTCGATACAACATGATAAAATGGACAAACAATGAAAATGAAACAAACAAAAGTAGGTAATTACGTTCAGGAAGCTTCCCTGTGGTCGAGGTGTGGCATGACAGGCAAATAGTCACACTGGAACCTAATAACCCACGCTGGGCATTTAAACAATGGCAGGAAAAGGCGCGTGTTCTGGAACGTCAACCGGGGTGCGCCAGTCGGACTTTCAAGAACGTCACTCGGGGCCTAAGGGTAACAACCTTATGCACTGTTGTTGAAAACTTAATGAAACCCTTAAAAGTGCAAACACAGTCTTTCCACAGGGCTTTCCAAACACTGTTCATGGTAGATGATTTCAAATCTGTAGCATGTTGTTAATAGCGTCCCTCACATAAAATTTTCACAACTCATGAATGGTTGGTTTACTGCCATGATTTTGGAAGTTGTCTGTTGCATCCAGAAGTTGGTAGAAGGTCTTTATGAGGTAATATGCCTTAAATATGGCAATAACCCCCTGATCAAGTAGCTGGATCATTGAGGTATTAGGGGTAGGTTCACAACACTGATGTTGGGGTGGATGTTATTGAGGTGCATTGGGTGTCCAAGGGCATTATCCAGAATTAGCATCGCCTTGAATGCAAGATTAGCTTCCCGGCAGGACCGTTCAACCTCCACAGCAAAATGTTTGGTAAACCAGTCCTCAAATACCTGACCAGTTACCCATGCCTTCTTATTGGTTGCCCAATGAACAGGCAACATCTTACTCAATCCTTTTAATGCACGGGGATTGAGGGATTGGTTGACTAGCAGAGGCTTGAGCTGACAGTCACCTGCTGCATTGCAACATAGAAGGAGAGCAAGCCTGTCTTTTGCTGCCTTGAAACCTGGTGCAACCTTCTCCTATTTATTGATATATGTTCTTGATGGCATCCGTTTCCAAAATAGCCCTGTATCTTCAGCATTGAAAATCTGCTTAGAGCTATACCTCTATGCTAGGAGAGCTTGAATCTCCTTGGGAAACTTGGCTGCAGCAACATGATCCGCTTTTGCCGTTTCCCCAGTCACTTTGGTTGTGCAGGTTATGGCACTTAATTAATTATTACAGTATTATTAATTGATTAATTTAATAAATTTATCAAGCCATCCCTGGGTTGGCAGAACCCTTTTCTTGACACAAGCATTCATAAATTTTCAGAGCCTTAGCCATGATCACAATGTTGCTAAGCCTGCTTTTCTTCTTAGTTTCATGCTCTTTGTACACCCACTAAAAAATTATTCGGCACCCATGTCATATTGTACAGTATCACGCCGTAAGGGTGCTGAATAATTTTTTAGTGGGTGTACATGTATGTATTGTGTTTGTATACATGTGTGTGTGTGTGTGTGTGTATGTGTACAAGTATCATGTCCACCCACTAAAAAATTATTCAGCACCCTTACGGCGTGATACTGTACAATATGACATGGGTGCCGAATAATTTTTTAGTGGGTGTACATTGAGAGCATCTTCTCCATCTCTAGATTTTTCACGATTGTTGTTATTTTGGCAGAAAGAGGTGTTGCATGCTGAACAGCACCTCGTATCTTGTCTGCATTCTTCTTGATAGTTCGAATCGTGGATTTGCCCAGGTTGTAGTAACGGCCAAGATCAGATATTCCCTCACCTGCCTCACAATGATTAAAAATTTCTAACTTTAATTGTAGTGTTACGGCTGTTATCTTCTTCTTCATGGGTGGATGGGCTAGAAGAAGACAATGCAGGATGCTTGGAAGCCATCTTACTGGAGATTTAAATATGGTTAATGGGTGCAAAAAACACCAAATCACGAAAGAATCCTCAGGAGCGATAGTCCACATGGAATGGCGGCTAGTGCGAAACCGAGCGCATTTTAGCAGGAAAAAGCCGGGAAGCGGCACAACACCTGACAAAACACGAGACTCAGTGATGACGCACTTACTCGCATAAGGGCGAATCTTGCTCGCATAAGTTGAATCCTGGTAGGAATAGGGTTCTCACATACGAGTGAATTCACATTTGCTGAACTCGCATATGTCGAGGACTTACTGTATGTACTTTTCATGTCCGTTACATTTAACTTACTGAAAAATAAATGCAAAGCTTGTAGATTAAAAATCTTATTTTCTAGTCTGATTATGCCAAAAGCAAATAAAGACAAATAAAGGATTATTATTATTTCCTGTGCCATGATACACATATTCTTTAGTGACCTCATGTAATGTGTACCACCTATTATCCACTCATTCATATTTGATTGAACAAATATTAATACAGTATACAGAGAGTATTGTATAAGTTCTTATTCTTGTTTAATATAAACCCGCATGATATATATATCATTATATTATTACTGATTTAAAACTATTTGCTCTCTTTCATGTGTTAGCCATGGTTACCTGATAGCTTGGTGTTCCAGTTGCTATCAGGAAAATTTGAAGTAACTTTGGCTGGATGTTATCCCCATCAAACCTACTTTTGAAAAGTGGAAATGGGGCAGGGTCGCTACTCCCCGATGTAATCCAAGGTTACCTGCTGGCCTAAAGAGTAGTCACATATGATGAGCATAAAAGTGCTCTACATTAGTTTCCCCTTTTTTTCAGGTTGATGAGACCACTGGCCGTATGACAGGGCAGTACAAGACCTATGCCATTTGTGGTGATATTAGAAAAATGGTTTGTATATTTTTAATTTTGTACAGGTTGTACCTCTCTAGTCCGGCATTCTGTGGTCCGGAACGATTTTAGTTTGTCCAATAGGTAGATAGGCAGCTTTTTTTTTTTTTTTATCTGAATTATTATTATTATTACAGGAGTATTAAATTTTTGCCCCTCAGGCCCCAATGTCGGTCAGGGACCTGTGCCCGGGTGGGCTAATCCCCTTAAAAAAAACAAACAACAAAGTCAAGGGAAATTAAGGTTTGTTTACATCCGGCAGTTCGGCTGCTCTCTCTCTCTCTCTCTCTCTCTGCTTGTCTATAGAGTACAACATTTAACCCTTCAATATATATGAGCAGTAAATAAGTGTTGCTTTCATATTCTTATGTAGAGTAATGACGATATATTTTCACATGTGCGCACTTACATACGAGCAGTCTCACTTTTTTTTTACCATTAATGGTTAGCTACATATATTGTTCCATTAATTAACATTAAATAACAGTACAGGTACTTCAAGCAACCATATTCATATTTTACATGAATTTTACTACAGCTAAACTCAGGGTCTTATTTTCTTCAGTTTTATATGTAGAACCAATCAGTCACTGGTTTCGTAAGCTTTAACATAAACAATGCCGGCAGCCGTCTCGTCTCCTCTAATATTCCACGTATTATTAATAAATTGTATTGTTAATTTTGCACACACGTACATTAATTCAATAAAAACAAATTCAGAAACATTAATTAAAATATATATGAACAGTAAATAAGTGTTGCTTTCATATTCTTATGTAAAGTAATGACGATATGTTTTCACGTGTGCGCATGCGCTGAATGTCTTTTTTTATTAAATTAATGTTTATGTGTGCAAAATGAGCAATACAATTCATTAATAATACGTAGAATATTAAAACATGAGGAAATGACACAGCATTGTTTTCGTTGATTACAAAACCAGTGACTGACAGGTTCTACATATAAAACTGAAGAAAATAAGACTTTGGCTGTAGCTGTAGTAAAATTAATATGGTTGTTTTAAGTAATGTTATTTAATGTTAATAAATGGAACAATAGAAGTAGCTAACGATAATGGTAAAGAAAAAAGAGAGATCGCATATGTAAGTGCGCACACGTGAAAACATATCGTTATTACTTTACATAAGAATATGAAAGCAACACTTATTTACTGTTCATATACAGTATATTTTAATTAATGTTTCTGAATTTGTTTTTATTGAATTAATGTTTGTGTGTGCAAAATTAACAATACAATTTATTAATAATACGTTGAATATTAAAACACACGAGGAGATGAGACGGCTGCCGGCATTGTTTATGTTAAAGTTTACAAAACCAGTGACTGATTGGTTCTACATATAAAACTGAAGAAAATAAGACCCTGATTGTAGCTGTAGTAAAATTAATGTAAAAAAAATAATATGGATGTTTGAAGTACCTGTAATGTTATTTAATGTTAATAAATGGAACAATATAAGTAGCTAACCATTAATGGTAAAAAAAAGTGAGTGCGCACATGTGAAAATATATCGTCATTACTCTACATAAGAATATGAAAGCATCACTTATTTACTGCTCATATATATTGAAGGGTTTAATGTTGTACTCTGTATAGACAAGCAGAGAGAGAGAGAGAGAGCAGCCGAACTGCCGGATGTAAACAAACCTTAATTTCCCGCGGCTTTGTTGTTTTTTTTTATGGAGATTAGCCCAGGTCGGTTCGTAAGAACTTCGTTAACCGATTTTTATTTCGTTAACCGAATTGAAGATCCTTATGGAAGGCAGTTCGTTAATCGAAATTACGTTAACCGAGGTGTTAGTTAAACGAGGGGTCACTGTACAGTATATTGAGATTGGAAGTGCAGTACAATAACTTGGTTAATAATAGGTTGTTGAAGATTTGTAAAGCCTATTCACAATCTAATACAGCTTCTGCTGGGCATTATCTTTACTGTTTTAAATTCCAATTACAGACAGTCCACCTTACTTCAAACAAATTATTTATTTGTTTTTTCTTTTAAAGGGCGAATCTGATGATTGCTTAGCACGTCTAGCAAAGAAGGATGGTGTTCTTCCAAAGTAAGTGCAGTTTAGAAAAGTGAATGTCAGTCACATTTGTTACTGTTGAACTTAAGATCCAATGTAGAGCAGAGAAATGCCCACTATATAGTTTGGTAATAGAGTTAAATTGTTGGTAATTTTGAAGCCATTGGAGCATTATGCTCCTGCACTTACAAGAGCAATTATATATATATATATATATATATATATATATATATATATATATATATATATATATATATATATATATATATATATATATATATATATTTTTTTTTTTTTTTTTTAAGTTTCATAGTTCAGCACTTTGCAAAATGGGATTTTTGCTAGTAGTTGTCCATAGTGTAATTAAATTGTAAATTTGGTATAAGTGTAGTGGTAAACATACTGATCTTTAGAAATTTATTGAACTAAGTTTAACTCACCTCTTACATCAAGAGAGTACTGTATACTGATTTGATTTTATCTTTTCTCCCACAGGAACTATTAAAGAAATAAAATAGAAATACGTACTTGCTAGTAGTCTTTTATTTGCCCTACTTTGCATATTTTGTACTTTTAGTGTTAAGTCTCTGATAATGAAATTCACACTCTTGATATTCTTAAATTCCACTCTCCTGTTTATAAATGGAGCACTAAGATAGAGAAAATTATCTACATTAGGACCCAAGTACTGTGTACATCTCATCTATGTATGTGCAAGTACCTATTTGGTGTAAGCAAAGCTTGGATTCTTGAATAGTAACATTATTTGTGGTACTGGAGTAAACCAAATGTGGAGACAGGTACAGTAGGTTCTCAAATATTGCAAGTTTTTAATACGACGTTATTTATTTGGAAAAAAACTACACAATTTCAAATTTCTACGGCGGAAACTCGAATTTTGACAGGTCTGAGCGGCCCACCAACGTTCAGACGTCCACACTCGAGTAAACAGCGTCATTTCTCTTATGTACAAAAGATTGTTTATTACTGAATATCTTTTTTATTGAATTAATATTTGTGTGTGCAAAATGAACAATACAATTCATTAATAATACATAGAATATTAAAACACACGAGGAGATGAGACGGCATTGTTTTCGTTAATGTTTACAAAACCAGTTATTTAATGTTAATAAATGGAACAATAGAAGTAGCTAACCATTAATAGTAAAGAAAAAACGTGAGATCGTGTTGCGCACATGTGAAAACATATCGTCATCACTCTACATAAGAATATGAAAGCTACACTTACTGTTCATGTATATTTTAATTAATGTTTCTGAATTTAAAACAAAAATTCTACCCACCACTGGTGGTAAAGTTGAAAACCTAAGGACAGCCAATGTTGTGTGTGTTTCTACTCGGATGACGAAGTTGCCAAGTCATCAGATTCAACTGAAGCTGTAGAACATAAAAACTTTTTCTATTGTTTTTAGTTTTAATTAAACTTTGTGTTATTTCTGTTGGTTTATTAGGCTGTTGCTTTATTACAGGTAGTAATTTGCCAAAAAAGTATGGTAAATAAAGCAAAATTTAGCAAAACATCAAAAGTATCAGACTCAAATTAATTTTCTCCATAGGAAGTTGTATTTAGATTTGGGCGATTTGAATTACGCGAGGTTTTTACAGTCTAAATAGGTGTCCAAATATGAGAGCCAATAAATTAAACTTGGAAGGTATAGTAAACATTGCAAGTTATGGTACTCAATTAATGCCCTGCAAGTAAGTCATTGGCATATGTTTTTCTCCTATTAGGCATTTGTTGCTGTATTATATATTGTTTGCAAGTCTGTGTAAGTAATGGATGTGCTGCTCTGCTACATAAATGGTCCAAGTTACATATCTTTGAAAAAGGAAAAATCCCCGAAGAACTTAATTTTTTCTTCCTGTATGAACCTTGAGTTATCAGTATCTTTATATACTGTATTGACTTTACTGCTAACTTGGTTATAACTGAAATGCCGTATTTTACGGCATTCAAGACGCATCCCACCATTTTAGCAGGGAATATTTAGGTAAAAACTTTTGTGTGTATTTTCCTCCTGTAGCCATAGTTTTCTAAAGTTAATATATACAGAACCAGTAAATGTGAGGAATAAATAAAAATAATACCAATAAGTAAGGTACAACAAACAAGTAAATAAAAGTTTAACACAGTCACCATTTGCATATAGTCCCTGGCTCACCATAGCAACGCAGACACTACCTCTGAAGATTCCCTAGCAACACCCCCACGTCCCGCCTCCACCCGCTCCCCACTGAGCTAGCCAGCTAACTCATGTGTAAGAAATGTATATTCCCTTTACAGTGGTCCCTTGGTTAACGAAAACAATTCGTTCCAGAAGGTCGTTCGTTAACCGAAACCATTGCTTCAATGGGATTTTGGGTAATTGGTTCCAGCTCACCGAAACTTACATACAAACTAAAAATAAATGCAGTAAAGTACACTTACTTTGAGGTGTGCATGTAGAAGAAGGCTGGTTGATGATGATGGGAATTAGAAGTGGGGGTGAGGGAGAAGAGAAGGCAGTGGGGTGGAAGAGAAGTCACCCCATGCCGCCATTTCACACACAAAATTTTAAGTTCACTTGGTGTAATTCAAGATTATATTCTTTAAATCAACACTGCACTGCATTATATATAGTCAAAATGTAAAATAAATTTCAGAATGACCAATAATTGTACTGTAAAAACATAAAAATAGTTTATGTTCAAGAGAATCTCAAGCAAGATGCTTCCTCCACTGAGGAGAGACAAACTGACGCCATTTTGGGTGTGTTGAGTGGCTGTTTGGCGTGCTAAAAACTAGTTCCCTGTACTTCAATTATGTTAAATAATTGTTAAAATGACAAAAAATTTGAATATAAGACTTGGAAAATTATTGAATAGTACAACCTTCTTGATATTTACTCAAATGGTAACGAATTTAAGCCCTAAAATCGATTGCTGTATTGGCGGACTAATACTACAGCTGGTGAGCAGGCGAAAACATGTTGGGAAAAATTCGTAAGGAATTCGTTAACCGAATTGAATATTCTTATGGAAGGACAATTATTTCTTTTACTTTTTCACAATATGTATTTAGGATGGTGTGTGTGCATGTAATTGAGTAAAAATAAATGAAGAAAGTTATGCGTGTCTACCCAACAATATGAGATGAAAAACAACCATAACACCAGTAGCTGGTGGTTAAAGTGATGAGTCTAACCTGGCTACAATGTTAACAGACACAAATGTGAAAAGAAAGTTACCTGTGTATGTAAATCTTCATTTGTATTAGGTATTTGTAGATTTAAAAATTATTGTTGCAGGAATGGCATTAATAGATTGTAATGTTTAAGAGTTGAGAAATGGTTACTGCTTAGCTACCTCTGAAGAGTTGGGTATATACCGTACAGGAGTTAATCGTTTTAGGTTATCATCATCAGTACAGTAGTTATAAATTGAGTATATTTATAATAATTATTTTTTAATTAATTAAAAATAATAATGTGTTTAAGTATGCATAACATATTTTTATTTCTGGTGTTGGATTAGGTAGAATTTAGCCTACTGGAGGCAGCAACTGGGGGATTTATTAGCTTACAGGAGGCCCCAATTTCACATATAGGATGCAGGCTGATTTTTTTTTAGCTATTTTTCACGACAAAAAAGTGCATCTTATATGCCGTAAAATACGTTAGATATGGAAAACCTTTGGAGCTTAATGTATTAGAATTGTTCTTCGGGAGATCTGCCACAGCAACCAGTAGCACAAAAGTTAGCATAAACTATTCCTGGACCATTAAATTGATTGTAATTATAGTTTAACTCACTTGATCACTAGGATGGGATAGCTTGAGGTATCATTTTACTTAAGGAGATGAGTATCCTGGGAATGTTAAATTTTATTGGTTAGTCATTAATAATACTGGGAAAAGGTGAATTTTTTTTAGTATGTATAGTAATTGGAAATTAGCAACAATTCTTTATAAATAAATCAGTGGACCAGAAGACATGAGTGATGCAAAACTATTGTAATAAGGGGAGTGATAACCCAAAACTACCTGGTATGGGTAAAACTAACCATGAAAATGGTAGAGTTTACGAGGTAAGAAGGTGGGAAATAAACGAACAGAATAAAATGGAAGCGCTATTAGAGATTGTTGGGACCAAGAGAGGTATATAAAAGAAAGGAATACAGTAATGTGAAATACATTTGGGAGGATACCAGTACAATAATAAGAGTAGAACAGTGGCGCTAGCATAAACAGGTATATCCCGAGAATTGGCGTCCCAGTAACTGCTGATTACATATAGGGCAAATACCCTACAAGTTTCGTTGATATCCCGGAGATTCGGTGATAGGGAGTGGAGCAGCAGAGCTGTTTTGAATTTGGTGAGCGGTGGTGTGAATTCTTGCCACATGAGGGTTGTGCATGCTGTCTCCTACTCATTTTCACCTCTCTGCACTTGTTTACACTTACCATGTATGTCTTCGACTTGGTCTTTTTCGTTATTTCTGACTTCGTGTGTTATGCAATCAAGCCTAAATGCCCCAGTGATAGTTCCGCTTGTGCTAGGGACAGCTTGATTTGATGTAATAGTGTAATGAAAGTGGTGATGGACCAGCAAAGATTGATAGAGACTTGAACTTGCTACCCTAGACTGTCTCTACCATCCCCAGCACAGGTAAATAAGTTTCAATTTATGCTCTACATTCCTTATTTAATGCATATTGTGTTTGCTTTATATGTCTGCTTTATTTTCTTGCTTGACAGTGTGTACAACATAGATATATTAAGAGTAGTTGGGAGTTTTCATGGGGTGGCCAGTCCTTAACCTTCCAAATTTGTTATATTCTTATGGTATTAAGTGCTTCGATAACCGGTGATTCACTAACCAACGATTTTTCACGGACCTTATGTGCGTCTGTTATCGGAGTATGTCTGCACTGTATTATAGAAGAAATATACCGGATAGATGATTAACTTAAAGAGGCAATAGAAAGGAAGAAACCAACACGGTGAAAAATCTTGGAGAATGCTGTTGGTAGTGAGGAGGAAGGAATATTGTTAAGAGATTACACGTGAAAAAGATGGTACAAAACTTTTGGAAAGTTAAGTATTGTATGAAGCAAAATGCATTACACACACACAAAAAAGTAAGACCTAATCACAGTGATGACAAGACCCTGGAGGCAAGGGAAGCTATTAGTTATGAGAATTTTCTTTACAGCTAAATTCCTTGTAAAAAGATACTGTATCAACTGAAAAACATGAGACTTGCATAATGATTATGGAGAATGCATATGAAAAGGTAGAGGGGAGGAAAGTTAATTCTATTTGGTGCAGTGGAAGTATGTGGATGGGGGGTTCCATGCAGATGTTAACACAACACTTGCGCACATGGAGACCCACAGAAAAGTAATCAGAGACGTGACCGATCGCCCAAACGGCTAACGAGCCGATCAGTGATGAAGAGAATAAAAGTAAGTACAGTAAAAGAACAATTACAAAACTTGTAACCTCCATCGTTCATTCAGGCG